TAGTTTATTTATAAACTTAAAACATTCACCATGTAACTAATAACTTAAAATGTAACTTTATTGAATCTACTCTAATCAGCTTTAGTTAAATGCATTGGCATAGACAAAAAAAAAAAATTAAATTTAGCAAAGAATTTTTTTGGCCAAAAATTCATCAGCTATGTGGGTGTACATGTGCATATGTATGCAAGTGTGCAATTAATTTAAGTAAATTTCCTTTTAGCTTAGCATGCAGAGTTTGTAAATTTCTATGGCCTGCTTTTAAGGCTGGCGCAAATGAAATTTACTTGGCTAAAAGGGATGAGCCGGCCTTATAGCAACAGCTACTGTAAAACATGTATGCGAGTATCTCTGTGTGAGTGTGTGTATGTGTATTTGCATAAGCTGCTGCCACGCCCATTCCAACGGCCCATGCCCAAAATGCATTCACCTGTTTTATTTGCACACATTATGCGCTCTATTGAGTTCTTGCGCCCAGGCTGCTGGCTCCGCCCACTTGGCCCCAAAGAGACGCCTCCTGCTGCCAGACGGGCTTAATCAGACAGTCGGTCGGTGAGGGCGCCTGCTGCCTGTGCCTGCTGGCCAAAGACTGTCGCTCAGTTGCTTAAGTAGTTGCAGCATAATAAAGAAAAATAAAAAACGAAAAACAAAATGCTGGAAAAATTGAAGTCGACGCGCTGCCCCTCAAGCAAACGTTTCCCAAGTTGCAGCAGCAGCAGCAGCAGGAGCAGTAGGAGTAGGAGCAGCAGCAGCAGCAGCAGTAGGAGCAGGAGTTAAGTTGCTTGACATGTGTAAGGAAATGAGTTGGCTGCAAACTTCTTGTTTTTTTTTCGCCACGCCCCCCTCCGGCATATATGTAATGATGGAAAATTCGTTGAGTCTACCAAAAGTCAGCGAGCTTAAAGCCAATTAAAGCACTTTGTTAGCCAATTAAAATGGCACGCCAACATTTGCTGTATGAGCTCCCTGACCGGGCAGGACCCCAACCGAGCCCAAACGACCCGGGCATGGGAGCCTAAGCCTGCGCATATATGCACATTGCATAATTGAATCATAGACAAAACGAGTCGAGTCGCTGCAAGTCGAGTCGAGTTGAGTCGAGTCGAGCTATGCACCTGCTGGCCTGCTCGCTCTTTGTTACCTGTTTGCTTGCTCTCAGTCGCTCTCAATTATGCTGCAACGTCAACAGCGGCCAGATTGACTTAATTATGTCAGCCACACACACACACTCACACTCACACACACCCGCCTCACACATGCCCAACCCCTCTCCCATCCTCATCCAACCCCACTCGAGCTGAAAAGTAAACAAACACGCGCCTCGCAGACTTTTAGGCGACTAACTCAGCTCGCTGCCTCTGATTATGCCAAGCAACGAGATAAAACTTAAACAAAACCCAGAATAAATGCGAAAGAGAGGAAAGAAACGAAGATGGAGCGAGAGACAGAATAGTGCAGAAATTATAATTACTAAATAAAACAGGCACTTGAGACGCGTGCAGTTGCGACTGCAGCAATGCAAGCTGCGTTGGCCCATGTGAGAAGTTGGCCGACAACGTGGCCTAATGAGCAGGCGCTCGACAAGAGTCGAAGTTGTATAGCTGGCGAGGACACACGCTCATCACATGCAGAGCAAAATTCTAATTATAATCATTTTTACAGTTTACATTTCAACAATCGCACTGGGCTGGGGCGAGAAATTTGTCTTGTCATCGGCTGTTAAATTGTTTGAGTATCGGCTTTTGATGTTAGTTTTGATGTTAACTATGCTGATAAGCCTGACAGCTTCTGTTAAATATGTTTCTCATTAAGGGCTTGCCTAGGCAAAAATATGTTGACTTTAAGGCTTTACGATTTGCATAAATTTCGAAGCTTTGATGTCAATAGTAAGTCGAATGTTTCCAAGAAACTTTTGTTGGATTTAGGCAATCGGAAAATTATTAATTATTATTGCAAGCCTATCTTATTTTTATAAATTTATTTAAATTTATTTTTCTCGATATTACTGGAGTACCTGGAATGGATACAATAAACCTTAT